CTGCTCCCAGAATTCCTTGATCCTGGGATTCCCTGCTCCCAGAACTCCTTGATCCCGGGATTCCCTGCACCTGGAATTCCCTGCTCCTTGAATTTCCTGCTCCCCAGATTCCCTGTTCCCAGAATTTTCTACTCCCGGGGTTCCCTGCTCCTGGGGTTCTCTGTTCCCAGAATTCCCAGTTCCCAAGATTCCCTGTTGACGGAATTCCCAGCTCCTGGGATTCCTTGATGTCGGAATTCCCTGCTCCTGGGGTTCCCTGCTCTGGGAATTCCCCATTCCCAGAGTTCCCTRCTCCTGGAATTCCCTGATCCCAGGATTCTCTGCTCCCGGGGTTCTCCCAGGGCTTTCAGAATCTGAAACACATGGTGAAATAGTGGGAAACCCTACAGAACAGTGGGAAGCTGTGGGATGATTCATCCTCCCGAGATGTGGAGGGGGTGCCRCTGGCCACCAGCGTGGATCCAGAGCAGGGAATATTCTGGGTTTGGGCATCGGTCCCAGAGGGAATCTGGGGTTTGTTGGGATGTGAGAGCAGCAGGAATCCTGAGGAAAGGAGCCCTCAGGTCTGATGGATCTCCTCGTGTGACTTTCCCTCGCTTTTTGTAGCAGAAAGGAGGGACTGACCTCGAGTTCCTCCAYGTGGATTTGGGATGTGGAGACCTCAAATCACCCCGAGCTCTGAGGTGCCCCAGCCCACAAGGCCTTTCCAGTTTGGAGCGCCTGCCAAACCCAAAATTCCTTGGAATTTAGGACATTTTGGATGTCATCTCATGACCGACATTCCCAAGGGGCATCCAGGAATTCCCAGCRTCAGGGACCTGCTGGGGAGTGGGAATGGCTCTGATTGGGAAGGAGGAGTTTTTGGGGTAGGGTGATGTGGGAAGGTCAACAGAGTGTCCAGTGACCGAATTCCAGACAGAAAGGGGAGGGCATCTCCCATTTTCCTTGGACATCGGTCCAAGGAAATTCAGTCCCAGGCAGGGGGAGCTGGGATCGGAGTGGGGATCAGGAGCTGGGATCAGGAGTTGGGATCAGAGCTGGGATCAGAGCTGGGATTAGGAGTTGGGATCAAGAGTTGGGATCAGAGCTGGGATTAGGAGCTGGGATCAGGAGTTGGGATTGGAGTTGGGATCAAGAGTTGGGATCAGAGCTGGGGTCGGAGCTGGGATCAGAGCTGGGATTAGGAGTTGGGATCAAGAGTTGGGATCAGTGCTGGGATCAGGAGTTGGGATCAGAGCTGGGGTCGGAGCTGGGATCAGAGCTGGGATCAGAGCTGGGATCAGAGCTGGGATCAAGAGTTGGGATCAGGAGTTGGGATCAGAGCTGGGATCAAATCTGGGATGCTCCAGGTGCTGGTGGGAGGTGATCTGGGATGAGGCCCAGGAGTGCTCTGCTCACAACAAATCCTGCTGCAGGATTCCCTCCCTCAATTCCCAGGAATCTGCTGATCCAGGGGCAACATTCCGGCTGTTCCTGGGCTCCTTAACCCGGCCCTTCTCTTCCAGAGGAGACGACGTTCGAGGCTGGAGTCAAAGTGCAGATCCACAGCCAGTCTGAGCCTCCCTTCGTCCAGGAGCTGGGATTTGGGGTGGCCCCTGGGTTCCAGACATTTGTGGCCACCCAGGAGCAAAGGGTAAGTCCTGAATTCCCCGATCCATCCCAGGATCCCAGGTTCCCTCTCCGTAATCAATGCCCTTGAGATGCATCCCTGGCATTTACGGGGTTTTCCTGCCTYCCCTCAAATTCCTGGGAATGAGGGCAGCTTTTCCAGGTTATTTCCCCTGCATTCCCAGTCCTGAATTCCCTCAGTGATCCCAGCTCCAGGAGGGATTTCACCCCTTGTGCTTCCCTGCTTTGTTCTCCCATGGTCCCAGTGTTGGGTCCTGTCCAGCCCGCTGGGTTTTCCCAGGAAAAGCACATTCCAAGGGTATGGAAAGAGGCAGGATGGGAGAGGTTCCTGATGGAATCCTTCAGGTGGTCCCAAAATATCCACGGGATTTATGGCAAACTCTGCTGGGATATCCCGAGGATGTCGGGAATCATCTCTGTCCCTGGATCCTGGGGATGACACATCCACAAGGATGGGTGGATTGGGGATCAACCCCAAATCCTCCTCAGGCAC